GGATGTACACCAGGATTGAGAAGACAGCGGCTTTCACTATGATGATATTTGTTGTTTTGTCCGGATAAATCGGTCTTGTCACATTTTAGAAAGTTGCCCGGAGTTCACAGATGCTGGCTCTAAGCGCTGCTCTACTCCATGTTGCAGCTTCGATGTCTTGCCAGTACAGATCTGAGGCAGTTGAAGTTTCCGACTTCCTTGATAGTTGTTCCACTTCATTGAATCTTTGGGTCGTTAGTCGAATCGGGTGCCCGCAAGATATTTGTTTTGATAGGGTTAACTTCTAGGCCTACCGTCGAGGCCACCTTGTAGACTTTTCGAGTTAGTGCCAGTAAGCCACTGCCGGAGTGGCTCAACAGTACAGTGTCGTCAGCGTACTTGAGATCTGTTATGAGTACTGCAGGGTAACTTCGGCTGAGTCGTCGTATGTAATAAATTTGTCGCTATTGTTGGCGATGACACTCCTCCGCACCACATACTCCACAACTTTGATATTTGCGATAAAACTAAGCTTCATAGTAGACCTGTTAACACTGATAAATATTTAAACTGCAACCCACATAATCATTTAAGTAAAAAATGATCTCTGCAATTGCCGCACTAATGGACACAGTTCTTAAACTGTAATAATGAATTTCATAAAACTTAATAAAACATTAAAATAACCTTGTATGATAACAATCATTATCTTGCTAAATTCATTCGTTAATAATACCATAAACCGTAGAATTAGTTATTTTAATCCTACTTATAACCAAGAATTCTGATGAATTACATTCAAGTTTATAAACCTGACCTAACTCTAGTGTATCATAAAACTTAGTAAAAATCGAAAACTGCTTTGCATTATATACCGTAATAATGTTATATATTAAAGCTCCAGTAAATATGATGCTTTCTTGACGACCTGCGACAAGAATTATTTAGGCTGAATTTACAAATTACAGTGTGACTGGGGGAAATATTAGATAGGACAAATAGAGAACCAAAGAACAAATACCCACCTATCAAGCTGGAAGAGATGAATGACGGATTATCACAGACCAAAACGAGTTACATGTGGCAGCAAAGCATCCAGGAATATGACAAATCCTCACTCCTCAGTAAGTCAAAGAACAACTGGAAAAGGCCTCGGAGATTCTGCAACACGCAGCAGTACGAGATTACGTTCCCCAAAGTCAAAGTCAACGGGCTTCACTAAAGAAAAAACTGTTGAGTAGAATCAAAGAGCTTTTGTTATCCAGTCCTGCGAAATTCTTGACCAGGACAAGTGATACGTGTGTTGAATGAATTTGACAAGCCTAAAGAAGATTGTCATTGTAAAATACTCAACACATACATGTGCTAAACGGCTGCGAACCACATGGCAAACTATAGAAATCAACCACATTCACATTAAAGGATACCTGAGAGTTACGATCAGACCGTTAGTATTATTTAATCATTTGATTGATCAATTCATTTGCTTTGTGTATGAATAAACAACTGTTTTTATACATTTTTTCTATCTAATCACCAATTCACGAAAGAAGTGCTTAGTCTTAAGATATCACAAACTCAGACACAGTATTCATACACTTCTGGATCTATCTGTCAACATATAGCTACAGACAACCGTATTTATGTATAATAATGTGGAATCGTGCTTATGAATATTGAACATGTCGCACAGCATGTACCGTACAGTCAGTATTCATAACAGCGCAAATAAATATATATGTATCACTACGCATATGCAATTGCTTGTGTTCACATAGCGTATAGCTACTGAAACAGTATTAAAACGTACAAAACATAACGTTGTTCCAAATGACGAAAACAGCATTACATCGGACTCGTGGAATCAGGAGATAAATGACTTGTCATTGCATCATCATGCTTATTTTCGCACTGTTCCAAGGAACTAAAGAATTCACACGATTGGACTACTGCACTGATCAGTCTACTCCATGAAAGCGAGGCACGAGGCACAGCGGAACTACAGGCCATTCATCTGCAAGATACTAACGAAGGTACTGATAAAAATACTGAAAGAAAAGCTGGACGCTGCACAGCGGAAAGAGCAACCTCGATTCAGAAGACTCAGTAAGTCGGATCATCTCCAAGGTTGACAAAGCGGCTAAGAGTTTCAGGTTTGTTGTATGATGCACCTACGATAAATTTAAATGATCAATATAATATATAGTTACAGCGACACTGGATATATGTTAGTTACATAATATAAGTATTTCTTATATGTATTAGTATAAGTATCTGTTTATTTCTACTTTATACTTTTATATGATGGCATACTGTTCTGGTTACATATAGTTAGAAATAAGTTCTGTAGCAATGTCGAATAGTAATATGATAATGGCATAGTTAATATATAAGAACTGCTGGATATTTTTACGATAGGATTACCATGTATAACTGACTATATAAGCATTCAGTAATGTTAACATTCTGTTAGTATATACAGTAATGTATACCGTTTTTCTTTTACAACCAGAAATCACTGTGTAGTTACTGTATCCCTGTGCCGAACGGTTT